TTTTTTTTTTGTTTCTCGAACTTGTTCAAATAAGTCAGAAACTGACTTTTCTCCTGATTCCAAGTTCGACCCCGCTCGAATACATATGAAAAAGTTGACCTCGTTTGAATCAAAGATGATTCTTCCAAAAGCGACAAGTCAAAAGTCAATCTCACCCGAATGTGCAAATCCGAAGAAACTCCATTTGGACTCACACGATGAGACCCTACTCGACCGGTCAAGGCCGGATTCCCAAATAAAAAACTAGGGATTCGCCATAAAAAAATCCGAAGGTTAACTCCAAAACAAAAAGATGTAACAAACAAGGGGAGGGGAAAGAAAATCAAAGGATATACTAAGGTGAAACAACTCTTATATTCATATATACGTGTGCAATGGTCGCACCTTACACAAGGCCAAAATAGGCCCAATTAAAAAAAGAGACAAAAATGAAATGCAAAAAAATATATAAGTATATATACTAAAGTAGTATCAACTTTTCATTCGGCGTCATCACCGCCATCCTCCCCATCATTGTCTCCAAGAAACTCCTTCTCAGCATCAGCGTCTTCGCCAGCCTCCGGTGTCGCGGGGTCATAGCCGTAGTTGACACGAGCCTCTCGTGCCTTCACCCGGGCTCCTTCATAAGTAGCTTCAAAAACATTGCTCGCCTCCCACAAACTCCGGTATATGTCTCGTTGGGCCTCGGCATGAACCCAAAGCTCATGCAAGTGGCGAGGAACAACGGTAGAGGCAGAGGCAGATTCAACTTGGGACAACAATTGCACCTTTTCAGCCTCGACGACAGCAACCTGATCTCCCAAGTTCGAAGCTTCCTAGTCAATTTCGCCAATGCGCTCTTCAAGCCTCGCCTCCCTTAACGTGGTCGTTGCCCTCTCAAATTCCTGCTCAAATTGAAGGACGTGGATAGTGTCCTCCAACACCGTTGCCCTTGCCAAAGCCGAAGCCCGAGCATTCTCAGCATTCTCGGCATTCTCTAACTCGAACACCTTCCTCTCTAGCTCGGCCAACTTCCCCATCCATTCAGCACTCAAAACTTCAAATCTGGCAGCATTTTGATCAAGTTTAGATTGCAATGACAACACCTTCTCCTGAAGATGCTCACACTCTGCAGCGACCCCCTTTCCCAACTCAAGTTCTTTGGCCTTTGCACGAAGTAGCTCCTCGAGCTCATTATTCCTGCAAATAGACTGCATCAGCTCCTGATCCCTATTCTCCAGCTCCTCCCCGAGAGATTGATTACTTGTGCTCGCCCTGAGCCGCTCATGCATCTTATCTCACGGCATTTATTGCAATAGCATCGATACTTTTCTAGCATCATCAGAAAAATCTTGGCCCGAGTTTCGGCCATGCGAGCACTCTCGATCTCCAGCATGTCAGACTGAAAGTAAAGAAAAAAGTCGGTAAAGGCCAAGGCCTCCAAAAACGAAAGGGGGACAAAAAAACAAAGAGAACAAACTTACCTTCAGGCCCATAGCGGCCATTTCATGCGATAATTCGACGCTGCTAACGTCCCGAAGAGCCTCACACTCTGCGACAGAGCATAGAAGGTCGAACTGCGGTACCAAACCCTCCGTGTCCCGCAGAAGATTGAGATCCGATGGAATCTCAAGTATTTGGGAAGGACCTCTCGCTTTTACCACAGTACGGGTAAAGCCCTCCTCGAACATCCTAACATCATCAGGATCGAGGTTGGAGTCAGACTGGCAGTCATCAACCACGACACCCTTTCCCCTCTCTGCGACTGAAGAAGAAGCTGTGATTTGGTCCGGATGATGAAAGGCCATCCAAAACGGCAACAACAGCCTCGAAACCCCGTATGTCCGTCGCAATATCCTATTGATCGTTCATAACGGCCGAAGCCTCTGCCACCGGGTTCGCCTCTACGGCCGGGTTAGCACCACTGCCAATTTCAGACACCGCTAAGGGAGGGTCGCCCCTCGAAGATGCTTCGACTAAAAGAGCCACTTCAGACTCCACTCGCCATCTCTTCGACGGACCCTCTCCGCTACCAGCGCGGGAAGATTCTCCCGTTGAGCGGGTGGTAGGAGCTGGAGTCTCAGGTTGAGGAGTAATTCCCATGCACACGGCCTCGACCGCAGGTGCCGATTGAGTAGATCTCTATGTAGGTCGGGCAGCAGACCTCAGTGCGGGCCGGGTAGAAGGAGCTGGTTGACAGAACGTGAGCAAAAGAGTCCTCGCCCTTCGCACTCTCCCTGCCAACAAAGAAAAATGATTATATAGCGACAAGATCAAATTACAAGGCAAAGAACAAGGAAATTGCAACGGGCCGACTCACGAGTGAGAGGCATATGCATGTATCTCTTGTAGAAGGATGCTTACACGCGGACCCTCACGGTATGGGGGAGAATAACATTAACCCACTCGTGGATGTCGTCAATTGGCGGGGGAGGCAATCTCTCAGCTGCGAAAGCAAAAAAAACAAATTAGCAATGCCACCTAAAAAGGAATGGTCTGCCGCCACCTTGAGAGGAGTCATAAAATAAACAAAGGAAAACTTACGGGCGAAGTTCCATATCTCGAGAAACCCTGCTAGGTCCGCCACAAGGTGCTCGGTCCGCACGTAGAAACAGCTTTCCCAGAAATGGCGATTATCCTTGTCGTCCATCTTCACCACCAAACTCTTTGTTCCTCTGTGGAGCATGTGGATCATCGTGCCTCGAATAAGTTGAGGGGCAAAATATTAAGCATATGCCCCAAAGTGACCTCTTGACCGGTGAGCTCTGCGTACTTGAGCAGCATGAGGAAGAGTTTGTACACGTACGGTGAAAGCTGAGCCGGGCACACTTCATAGAAGCGGCAGAAGTCTATCACTGGGAGGGGAGAGGAAGCGTATACCCGAAAACAAAAGGGTATGCGTAGAATGTGCAGTACCATGGGCGGTGCAGATGTACAATGTCCGTCCCCGTTGCTGGCACCATTTCAATATTGTTTGGAATTCCCCACTTGGTCTTGAGCGCCGCAATTGCCGACTCATCCATGTAGAGGATGCAGGATCAGGTTCTTCTCCGGCGAGGCTGTTATTTCGGCCGTTGTTGGAACTCCCTCATCTTCCGCCGCCTCTGCTCCTTCTCCGAGAATCGGTGCATCATTTTTCGGCACCGGAGCTTCGATGAGCCTGTTCGTCTGGGAAGAAATACCAGCCATTTGTCTGGATTGATCGGAATAAATGAGTATGATGAAGGAAAAAAGAAGATGGTAGTGCCAAGTTCTGACTAACAGGAGAATGAATCAGAAGTATGAAGTATTGAAGAAGGTAAAGGCTTGCAAAATTCTTTAGATAAATCGAAAAGTGTAGCAATCGAATGGTGATTTCCCCCTATTTGTAAGAACACAAATGTCCTGAGTGGGAAACCCAAGAGTCGTCAATCAAAATTGATAGGGCACAAGAAACGATACAGTGCCTGGGAAACGTGCGCCATAATGATAGTGGCTATTCATGATGCACTGAATCAATACAACGATTCAACTCTGAACAGACGTAACGGTCCGATGGTACCATTGAAGCATCACGTCGCCATCTCGACCTAAGGATCCCGCTCAATGCGTAACATTCAGATTTCTTCTAACTTTCAAATCGGCAAAGTCCGTCCGTTGAGCCCGCTAAGAGGCGACCTCGACGGACAAAGGGACTAACTGTATGGGTCAAAATCTGACTGGAATGGTCGTCCTTAAGAGGAATGATAAGGTGTCGACTAAGTCGTAATCATGCCCACTGGGCGAGATAGCAAAGAGCACCTCGGCCATCGCCGGGGTCAAATCATCGGAAAGCATACATAACAGAACAAGCGTGGTGTTCAAGCAAACGACGAAAGGTACAGTCGTAAGAAAGTATGCCGGTCAAAGACCATTGGATAAAAGGGAAAGGAACTATATATATGGGGGGAGGCTCAGACAAAGAGGGGGGATTCTCTAGGAGATAGCTACCACAATAGAGTAAACAAGACAAGAGGAATCTCTTCATCATCAACAGTTACCTCTCTTCCCCTTCCTTGCTCCCATGATTATGATGCATATATGCCCTAGATGTAAGCCCAACTCTCATGTTTGATGTACGATTATTACATTAAGAAATCTTACATGCTCTTATTCTTCTTCTATTTCGCACTCTGTATGTTTGGATCTTGAATTAATTATGTTTGGCTAAGATTTACTTTTTTTATTATCAATATTTAGTTCGACAAACGGGTTTACACTTATTTAGTCAAACACTTCTAACCGATGAATTCGAAAAAAAAGGTCCACTATATTATTGGTTGTCTCTTCTTTCACAAAGTACTGGAAAAAATATCTTACACCTTTAACTAACAATTTTAAAAAATAAAGTTAAAGCGACAAGCCTGCTTCATAATACTCTTCCATATTTGCTTTATTATAGCCTGAACAGATATGTGAACTTCTACTGTCACACAACTTTACTTCAAAATTAAATGCAAATGAAAAGAGAAACAATTTTACATATTTTTTTAAGGAAACTAGGCTTCTGTTTCTAACCTAAAGTTTTGCCTGGAAATGTTCTGGGCCATAGTAGTTTGATTGGTAGACCAAAGCTAATGGGAGCTGCTTCAGGTGTGCTTAATAAAAAGCACTTACATAAGTCTTCAGCTAATCAATATGTATTCCTACGCTGCAAAAGAGAGGACGGACGAAGAATTGAATCAGATATGTCCTGTTAGTAAAACACAGGAGCTGCTATTAATTTCAGTATGAAGAAAATAATCTTGAGAGGACCTTACTATGCTGAAAATAGATCAAACCAAACATAAACCACCCCCTTGGATAGCTACCGAAAACAACATCAGAAATGTATTTTCCCAGTTTTATATAATCCTCTTTCCTCAACCTGTGTTGGAGAACACAAAAATTAAAAGAAAAATGCAAGAACAAATAATAAAACGATTAACTGTCATATTATCTACCTCATAAACACTTCACCCAGTGTTTTCCAGGGAACAAAATCTTAATTTAGAACAATCAGATTGAGGGAAATAATTTGTAAGATTATATTGATTGAAAGGTAATTTTGATGAATACAAGACGCACCTGTTTTATATACATCCACCTATATACATATGGTATTTGTCAAATGTGAACAATATGATATTTAAGAACTTAACAGTTCTAATATTCTAGTCTAACATCAAAACACAATTAATCCTCCATCCAGTACTCTAGAGATATTCCTACAACAACCATTATCCAGTCTCTCCAAGTTCTTCTTCCATTTAGTCAAGTTCTTCAGACCCACATTTTCCATTTCTATTGTAGTTCTCCAACCTTTTCATACCCTGCTGAGAACATGCCTCGCTCCTTGAGCAATCTTTTAATCTCTTCTGCTCTTACAGTATCTCCATTCGACTGGAAGTAATCAATGCACGGAGCCCAACTGTGAATATTTGGTGTCCGCAGGGGCATACTTGCCAAGATCGCCTTCTTCAATGTTTCAACTGCCTTCTCCATCTGATTGTGTGAATAATATCCGAGTGCCAGACGATCCCATGTCCTATAGTTTGGCCTCTTCCCACTCTCCAAGAGTCTTTCTATAATAGATTCAGCCTTTTCTAAATGACCCTTTCTGCAGTAAACGGCTATGAGCAAATTTGGAATTCTAGCATCAAAATATACCTCTTTCGCTTCCCACTCGGCAAATATCTTCTCTGCACCATCAATATCATCTAACTTTTCCAGTCCACTTATCATGGAAAGATAACTTGAACTGTAGACCTTACCTCTATTCTTTAATTTCTTCCATATACGATAGACATCATTCTTCTTGCCCATACTAGCGTAGAGGCATAGCATGCTTTCATTAGCAACCCTTGCATTTTTCCCCTTACCTAGGAGCTCACATTTTCTTAATACCTTTGAAGCCTTTTCTACATCTCCAGCTTTCATGTATCCATTGGCAGTGACTGCATAAGCATTCCAATCAATCAGCAAAGAATCCTCTTCCATCTTCATCAAAAGTTTCTCCATCTCCTTTACATCAGGAACAGATACATATGCATTTAAGCGGATAGTATAGGAGATTACATTACCAGCAATTCCCTTATCTTCCATCTCTTGCACTAACGACTGTAGTTTCTCAAGGTCTCCCATTTTAGCATATAGGTTCATCATAACATTGTAAGTCACTAAGTCAGTATTCCCCAGATCCCTCATCTTTTGCATTGTACCTTCTGCTTTCATCAATGATTTTGCATCAGCATAGCAGTTCAAAAGAGCGCCATATACATAAGAAGATCTCAGATTATCTGGAATGCTAGCGAAATACTCCTCTGCTGCTTCCAGACCATGAGCTTTTGATATCAAATCCAGTCGGACTGCCACATCTCCAGGTGTTATACAAAGATGCTTCGAGTTGTCAATCCATTCATAAATCTGACACAGAAATAAGAAGCAGAAAATGAATCTCTGACTCAACATAGAAACAAGGGGGGGAACAAAAAGTTTTGCTGGAACTTAGACCAACATGGCACTTAATTTTTGAAGTGAGTGCAGCCGTGGCTGAATCAACTCTAGTTGTTCAATCCTCAGTTGCATGCTTGAATTTTATTTTCCTTCTTAAAGTATTATTTTATGTTGCATAGTTTGCTTCAGATTTTTAAGAATATCTTTGCATTAGTGTCAATGAATTTCATTGCCAAGGCATTATTGAGTCAATGATCATGAAGTAAACACTCATTCCTCGTTTGGTACGAGTAATAAGGGATAATTAATCTAGGGATTAAATTTGGGATGAGTTTATCCCCGGACTAAAATTACAGTATAACTAATCCCGGAATTAGTTATCCCAGGATTGTAGTGTTATTTTTATCCCTATGGGAGGGTGGGGTAACAATCCCCGAATAACTAATCCCGAAATAATTAATCCTGGGATAACTTATTTCCCAACCAAATGACCCCTCAGTGTTTGGACTACTTTTAGTTCACTTCACAAGCAGATCTTAAATATTGGAGATCTTTTTCATCTTTTCAGCTGACTGCTGGGATAAATTTATGCCTAATAAGATAAAACTGTTATGTCAGAAAATTTTACCCTTTTTCTAGTGTTAAATAATCAAAAGAATCATATCAGTGTAAAAAGCTAAGCCAATAAATTAAATACTAGTATTAGTACCCGCGCAGATGCGCGGACACTAATCATGTCAAATATTTAAGTTTTGGATTGTATGTATATAATTTTAACATTTACACTTTCTCAGTAAATATAGATAATCATTGGATATTAACTACATGAAAAAAAATTAACCATTTCTTCTATTTTTCTTTTTTGATACCATTCTTGTCGGTGTCATTGGATCCTAAAAATAGTCAGGAAGCAAAATAATAACTGATATTTATGGCAAAACAATTAAATGTTGAGACAATGTATGACTCTTTGGATAAGACTTAACTCTTTTACTGGTACTTGAACTCTTATTTGGTGCGTTGATATCTCTTAAAAAATATTTCTTTCTTAAAATTTCAGTTTCTAAAACATTATTTTTAAATAATAATTATTTTTATAATAATGTAATTGAAAATATTATTCTTAATTCAAAACTCATTTTAGTTGGCTATCTAAAAATATAAAAAATTCTTTAGCTAGTGAATTTACTCCATTTTGATATCTGACATTAACCATATTAAATATCTGAGTTATTTGAATTATATGTAAATAACCTTAACATTTAAACCTTCTAAATAGTTATAGATAATCGTCGCATATTAATTAAGAAACACTACATGAAAAAAGACTAATATTTTCTCAATTCTCGTAGTGATAATTTTATTTTTGCACTATTCTCATAGGTATCATTGGAACTTAAAAATAGCCACAAAGTGAAATAATAACTCATATTTATGACAAAGCACAAAGGTTGACACAATATAAACGATTCTTTGATTAAGACGTGACTCTTATATTATGACTTGAACTCTTATTTGATATGATTTTATCTTTCAAAAAATATTTTTATTTTGAAATTTCGATTTCTAAAACTTTATATATATTATAATAATGATTATCTTTATAATGATGCAAGTGAAGATATTATCCTTAATTTAAAATTCAATTTAATCGGCTATCTAAAAATTTAAATGATTATTTGGCCGCATTTATTCAGTATGACTCCACTTTAAGTTTATCGATATCTCTAGCCCCAGAATTTGAATTTTTAATATCCTATATATACAAAAATTTTGTTCTTTGAATCATTAAATGTTTATTATAAAACATTGCATATATTGTCTTAAAATTGTCGAGTAATTTATTTTTCGACACCATACTTGGCTTAACCTCAATGCAAGCTACTCAAATTGCATCCAGTTCAAATTCGAATATCATATCAGTTTGTTATTAATAGTGATTTTTTAAAAACGACACATAATGTAAATTAAAAAAGGTATTCGAAGATATCCCTATCTTATAATCTATGTATTTGAGTTGAAAAAAATATATTTGAAATCGATGAGATTAACTTTCAAATTTTTTATACTCAACAAAGATGAAACATAATAAGAAATTTGTTGTCATCTTTTATTTCTTGTTTTTAGATCTTTCTAACATTTTTTTCAATATTTATTTTCTTTTATCTTATTTTTTATGTCATTATTTCTTTTGTTACAAAAAACTAATTTATTTTCACTATAAAAGGATGAGTTTTTAATAAAAATTGTCTACATATGAACTTTAATTATATTTTTAGTCTTTGGTTGAAATTATTTCATATTTTTCTTTTGGCTTTATCTAATCAGCCTAAATAGGTGCTCACCCGACCACTTAAATTAAAAAATTGAATGAAGTATAATTTATATATAATCCATATATAATATGTGTATAATCGTGTGTTGTCGGTGTATCATCTATTTATATTAACTATAAAAAGTAAACAATAAATATGGCCGGATATTATGTAAATATTCCATAAGATTTCGATTTTTTGAGTTTATCCATGATATAACTTCTATTATAATAATTTTAAAACTCTCTACTAATGTTCAAAAATATCTTATCTTTTTATTATCTTTGAATTAAAAAAAGTAAAGAGTTTTTTCGAAATAATTTGTTTACATTTAAAAAAAAATATTTCACGTCATACGAATTTTTGCTTTATATATACTCTTTGTTATACTTAAAAGTCGCTATAGAAACTATCAATTAAAAACCAATTTATCACTTGTTGAGTTTGACAAAAACAAAACCCTTTCACACAATCTAATGATTCAAAACTAATATTCTTCAACGAAAAAAATATTATACCCTTGCAATACTGGCTTGACTACAGCTAAATGAAGGGATTTCAGCTTATACCCTTCAATTCCTTGAATATGCTAAATTGAAATTAATGATAGCAATTGTATAGCCAAAGTTTTGTTATTTGCTTGATGTTCATTGATGCAAATTGACTCTTCAAACAAATATTCTTCAAGAAGAAAAAAGAAACAATTTTTTTTAATATTGACTGATTTTGTGATGTTTCTTTCTCCAGCATGTATGTTTACTTTATTATATATGCAAGTAAACTTTTATTTGTTTTTGTAAACTCTTTTTTGTTATTTAGATAAACATAGACGTGTACCCTATATATTACATTTATTTTAAAAGAATTTCGTTTTATTCAAATCTAGCTACGGTGTTTCAAAGAACTATACTTATAGGATTTTAAATGTGAAAGAGTTTTATAGTTATATGGAGTAGTTTTTTTTTTTTTTGCTAGAGGCGAAGTAGTATTTAAATAATTATAAAAAATAACAAAAGTTCCTAACATGATTACATATGATCATTAACTGAATTAAGTATGATAACATGATAAAAAAAAAAGATAAATTTTATTTTTAATTTAAATTCGAATTTTAGAACTTTATCTATAAATTTAAAATTATCTTTTAATTCAAATTCCGTATATAGAATAAAATTACCATATACTATTGACATTTATTAGCTTGCCACTTGGCTTAACCATAATGTCAATTATATATGGTAACTTTCTTGCTTTAATATATATATATATATAGGTTATCCTAAGAGTCGTCTCATAGAGTAAACTTGTGCAGCTCTTGTTTTATTATGTTGGTTTAGCTGTTTAGTTAAGACAAAAGTATGGTTCGTCTCAAAGATATCGTCACTCCAGGAGACAGGTGGCAGCAGGAGGTTGGTTGGTGTCTGTCTCTACACCAAGATCAGCTAAGGAACCTCCATGGGAAAAAGAATTAAAACAACCCAAGCAACCAAATACCAATCATTTTCTCCTTCGACACAAATTATTAGAGCTTTGAAAAGAAAAAAAGCTCTAAAAACCTGTATGACAAGTTTAGGGATTCCTTTCACTAAATGAAATCAGTCTGATCCTTTCCTGCATAGAAGCTCCTTTTATTGTCTTTGGTATAACCCAGTGCCTTCCAAAAATATGTAATAATAAAAAACAGTGACTCACAAACCCTTTATGTAGTTTTTAAATACATTTTATTTTTAAAAAGTTAGAAGACTCGCCTATCCCTTTCCTAATTGCCGTAGAAAATGTTCGATCAATTGTATGAAATGCAAGTGTTGCTAAAAAGTAGTGCGAAGTAGAAAAATTCAGTTTCTACAGTAGTGAAAAATCTGCTCTCATNGCCGCCACGCGCGGCCAAGCGCCGGCGAGCACTCCACCACGCGCCGGTGCGTGAGCCTACTCCGGGCAACTTTTCAACTTTTTTCTTCAGGACAGCCTCTTCAGCACCCTATTCCGACCCAACCCATCCTGGCAGTTCTAGATTCCGACCACTTTTACTTTTCTCCGGCGACGGGAACTTTTTTCTGGCCATTTTGTAATCATTTTTCATTCAGCTGCAAAACAAAATTCTCTCTTCTTCTTCTCAAGTCTGCAGAATACCATTACGGCGAGCTTCTCAACGGAGCCAAACATCTCCTTCTTCGGAATCAGTATTCACCCACTGTGATTACTACCAAACACCCTCTATAATTTTCATAACCTGAGCAGTTGGTTAGTACAATATGGAAGATAGCAAGATATACTTCAACGCCGGATTCAAATCTTTCGACATCACCAGATGGAACTCCAACAAAGATATATGGTTTGAATGGGTGGAGAGAAGCCGCAACATGATGAGACGCTTATCCATGGGTAGAAAGACAATGGAATGGATTTGCTTTGTACTTAAAGAAACCTCGACAGATCAAAAGAATTTAGTGAAGAGATGGAAGTATAAGGAACAAATGACAGAACATTTCTGCACTAGGTGCACTAGGAAATTTAACGCTCATGGAAGATATATGAATATTCTGTCACTAAAGGGAGAAGGGAGGTCAGTTATTATAATCCCAGAGTTAGCTTTGAATGCAGGCTGGAAAGACATAGCAGCTAAGATAGAAAGATTCATCAGTCATGTCCCCAAGC